AACATTTTGTGATTTTTGTAATCTTTAATAAAAATTTAACGGTAAATACAGACGACGACGGACGACAAGCGATTGCAATAGCACACATAATCCTTCTGGTACTTAACACATCTTCTTGATGTGATCTACATAACTGCCAAATATAAATATAGAGGCTCCAACAAGCCTGAATCATTCACCATTTCAATGGGTCCCATTAGACTTGATTATGAAATAAAGTTCTATTATGTGCAGACATATAGCGTAACTAACTTTAATATTAATCAAGCTTGATTAAATTCAGTGTTTATCATTCTCAAAAATGAATATGTTTACGATAGGGTTTTGATACAAACTTTGCCCTCACTGGCGGCCATTTTTAACTTCGGATCAGCTCAAAACGTAAAAACACTTTTTAAGGACCTGGATACTATTTACACATTGTATATTATACTAAGTTTAAGCTCAGTCATTTCAGCGATCTTGAGAAGCAGATTTTTAACATTGATTTTTTCAAAGTCCCTTGGCGGTCATGTGTTTTAACCAATGTGTAACTAAGTAATAACACTTGAATAGGACCTTATAGTGCACACGTATATCAAGTTTGATTCAATTCTGATAAGTAGTTCTTAAAATAAAGATGAAAATGTTGTTTCCCATAGTGTTTCGATGCTCACAAAGTAGCATTGTTAAGGTTGTTGTTATAGATGATATAGATGATATGTCGTAATTACGATATAGCGATTTCGTTATTTCCACATAATATGTCGTTATTACGACATATCGATGTCGTTATTTCCACTTAATATGTCGTTATTACGACAAAGCGATGTCTTTATTTCCACATAATATGTCGTTATTACGACATAGCGATGTCGTTATTACAACATACTATGTCGTAATTACGACATGATTTTTTTTTTTGAATGACCCTTATCGGCTTCCGTATTAACGAGACAAGCAAACAAAAAAAATCTAGATGTTAGTTAATGTCCTCTTATTTCATTTTTTTGGGTAGATGGCAAAAGTAGTTTCCGTCAACTTGTTCCTCCCTTGGGCTCCCATTTCCCTGTTTGATTATTCATATAGCTTTTATTATAAATGATTTTAAGAAATATAAAAAAATTGAACAACGACTGATTATAGCAGTTGCGTGAATTTATAATGCAGTGTGTATGATAAATACAACTGAACTGGCCGGACTTCATACTAATAGGTAAAAATAATTTATTCTGAGTAAGATGAGTCGTGACCACTGACATAGTCTAATGCTCTTATTGACAGAAACATTTAAAGTCAGTAGTAGTTATTACAGACTTTGCAGTGGCATAGGAGTAAACTGAAAAGTGTGTGTGAGGGGAGGGGGACAAACTTATTCTAAGAACTTTTCCGTAGTTGAATAGTCTAGAAGTAAGTCAGTGTCCTCTATCATTTTCTTTTTTTCTGACCAAAAAGTGGAGGCATCCCATCCCACCTTGTTCCCCGGCTCCAATGCCTGTTTTATTACTCCTTAAGATTTAAAATAAGAAAATTTTATCACGGCTAATAATTTCCGTTTCGTGAACTTAGAATGCAGAGTGAATGATAACTACTATCGTACTGGCCGAACATCATACGTGGATATCTACTGTACTATCACTGGCGACAGAACATGACATCCTTGTGATAAAGCAACAGGTGATTTTAAATGTTTGTCTTATTCTGTTTTTAAATATGTTGCAATTTTATTCATGTTTATAAAAAAAAAAAGTAAACGACATTTATCCCTGATACATCAAGGGTCTGAGTTTTATTTACATTTTCATCATCTTTCTGAAATTTGTGATAAAATGGAATATTTTCTTTTATCGGTACTACCTTTTGTGACGGGAATTTTTGGTAAGCTTTTTGTTTTAGTTTTGAAACATTATTCATTTCGCAATCACAAAAATGTGTGCAATGTTGATTAGAATGCATGTTAAAGGTTAAAATTGTTTGATACCAAATTGTGTCTCTGGCAGTTATATGCAAAGCTTAACATTAGAAATTCACTGGGTTTATTACTTCAAAAATGGAGATATCACAATGACGTCAAACGAAATCAAGATGAGCCATTGAATAAATAAAGCAAAAACATTATATATATTAATTAATGTGACTTACATTTATTGAAGAGGCGGCTGTTGTATAGAGGGGTGTAACGGGGGGGATATCTGTACTGAAGAACGCGAAACAAAATTGCCATTTCACGATGAACGAACAATTAAAAATTTCTTGCACGTTGATCTTTTTACCGATTTCACGAAACACGGTGAATATCGAACCTTTTTCACGACTGCACGTGAAATAAAAATGGCAAAGCACGTTGCGTGAAAATAACCCTTTACCACCCTCTTTATACATCCTTGGCTTTCAAATATTTGAACTTGAGCGTTCTTGGAAGTGGACACAGAAAAGCGCTTTGCACGCATCAATTTATAAAGTGTCATTGTCATTCGAAAGAACAGCATTTTCTGTATAGCATTAAATTTAAATTAAAAAAAAAATTCGCTATAAAAAATTGCACACAATATTAAGCAATAATGTGTAAATGCAGATACAGAAAAATAAGGCAATAAAATTAAAAAAAATACACACAAACACTTCTCTCCTTCCCCATATCGAGACCCTCCTATGTGTTAAGATTTATAAATCTGTCAGATCTTCTTCTTATTTCAGGTTATTATCACGAGAGTTCCTTTTCCACGAGAGATATCTCCAAATGTAAGACTATTTACATGTGTCCAACCTTTTGCTACAAACTAGTAGGGGGTTGTTTCGTTTGTAAATGTGATGGTAAGTGAATTATGTTTTCCATTGTTTTCCATTACATTACCTATTATGTAGTTTTAACGTAACGTCACATAAATTAAAAAAAAAATCAACTTTTCAAACGGATTCATACAATTTTTTAGCTAATTTTTATTACGATTTTGAAGGAATACAAACGTTATTGGAATATCAATGTCTGCTCGTGCAAATATTATGATGATCTTTCGCTCGTCTATCGGGTCAAGTTTTCAGAGCGACGTCGAAATTATTAACGTGCTTCATGGAAAGTCATCAGCGGTTCTAAATTGTGTTGGATGTGTAAAATGTTGAAGGATTATAAATAAAATCACATACGGGGTATACGTCAATGCAACAGCATCCAATGATACAACAAAAACAAAAGATATCTGAGTGTTATGATAAGGTCATCAAAAATAGACAAGAGTCTTTACAATACGTCAAGCTCTAAATCGCATGAGTGTATAATTGTTGTGATATTACAAGAATTAATATTACAATCTACCCAAAATGTAGATGTGGATCAACTTACGAGGATGCAATTCCACTATTTTCTCGAGTGTCACTTGTACCAAAATCAAACAATTTTAATTTCAGATATTGATGAATTAAAATTAATATGTTACTTTGCCGGAAGTTTAATTATTACCCAAGACAACTACAGATAATTTTTTTTTAAATTCAGGACAAATATAAAACAAACCAAACGCTTCTAGGGTACAGATCAGCTCTAAACTTGTTTCCCTTTTTTATACGTTCCATGTAACACTAGATTATATGCACAATATTGTCATTTATCTACCTAATGCGTATTTGTTTTATTATATATAATGTTTTGTTTACTGTCATGTAATTTATATGAAATGATGTAAAGAGATGCCTTATTTAAGTTGGAATAACTGTTGTCCAATCTTTTTCTTTAATTTTAATTAAAAGACAGATTTGTAATAGGAACTTTGCTTATTTCTGAATCCTTGATATTTATTTCAAGTGTATTATATTTTTATGTGATGATTTGTCTGAATAAATATTGTTTAAACTTAAATGCTGGAAAAATAACTGATTAACAGTGACTCCGGCTTTCAAGCCTTCATCCACTCATTTTCATTCTTTTCTAGTACCTAAAATATTAGATATACTTACTTAATTGCTATTCACGGATATATTTTCTTTCTAATTTTACGAAATTATTTGCAATACTTGAAAAATGCCAAATAAGGTAAAAATGTATATATATACAATATGTTTAAATAGAATCGACAACAGAGTACATGGTAGATGCCATGGCTAAGATGAAGGATGACTACAAACCTATTAAGCAGACCGGAGGTGAATACTCGCTGAAACAGATTTCCAATAGCGGAACGGCATCAGGCACGTGGTCTTCTATGTCAAACAATAATATGTTTTCTGGAATGGGAAGCTTATCGGGTTTTTATTCTTTTGGTGGCATTGGTGGCATGAAATCTCCCTCTCCAATGCTTCAAAGCGGTGGTATGAACAACGCGAAGACGATGTCAAGTGTTAACGGCTTTAGCAAACCTCAGTATTCTTGTAAGTAGCCAAAGAAAAGGTCGATCCGTAACACCATCGTGTTTCCCAGGAAAAAAAGATTAAAAATCAAAAATACAACTTGGGAGATAACAATGTTGAAATAAATTGCAACCCTGCCATCAGACATGATCACGACAGAAATAAGTTGATTTTGCTGTGTCCATGTATATTATCTATGAGAACGGTTAATTGCTTTTGGGAGCCTGCTATGTAATTTTTATGTAAAATGAGCTATTCTTTCGAGGTCAGTTATTTGGAATATTCGATATTACACGTTGTGGAGTAGTAACATTTAATAGAGAAAATAACGGAACCTGTTGGTTTATCCAAAAGTCTAATTAACTATACACAGTACTGCATAAAGCGTAATTAACTATTTGAACCGCAAATAGGAAAACTACTTTCATAAGAGGCATTTTAATCAGATGATTTGATTTGAATACACGTTGTGAATGAGTAACATTTTAATTGTTTTGCTTAAACCTCGTTAGCTTTTCACACGCTTTATTTGGTACAATTCCGGCCAACTAATTGGGCGATAAATTCCACATAAACATACTCTATGACATTCTCGCCTTTTCATATGGTTTATTATGTTAATGGTACAGGTTAGGAATCATCACTTGCTATCAGCACGTTTTTCATTAATGTTTCTTTTATAAAGCATTTTTCCAGCCATTACAGCAAATGTTGCCCGGTCAGTGCCCACTAATGGACTATTCGTGTCCGTCGGCGTGTTGGTTTACAGACACATCGACCGGATGCATTACATGTGCATGCAAAGGTAAAATTTAAGTCAGAAATTCTCACAAATGATTACTTAATTGCTGAATCTGATGTTCAGTAAAAATCTGATGTTCAGTAGTTGTCGTTTGTTGATGTGGTCCATAAGTGTTTCTCGTTTCTTGTTTTTTTATATAGATTAGACCGTTGGTTTTCCCGTTTGAATGGTTTTACACTAGTAATTTTTGGGGCCCTTTATAGCTTGCCGTTCGGTGTGAGCCAAGGCTCCGTGTTGAAGACCGTACTTTGACCTATAATGGTTTACTTTTATAAATTTTGACTTGGGTGGAGAGTTGTCTCATTGGAACTCATACCACATCTTCTTGTATCTATATTATACATGTATGCAGGAAAAGTCCAATTATTGATGGTTACTTATTTTACATCCCATGTTGCATGCAAATTGACGACAAGAAAAACTAAACAATTCATATAAAAAGTAGTTTCTGATTGGAAGGTATACCAGTATAAAAGGCTGTAAATTTTGACAGCCCCTAGAAAAGCAGGGTATATGGAACAGGAACAGACAGTTTGCCTTGCAACAGGTCACCAACAAGCTCCCAGAGAGTTGTTGCAAGTGTTCTTTAACGTACAGAGAGCGTGGTGCTCACCCTACACAAGGCATCAGATATTAACGTCCCCATTCCGATTGGACGTAATTTTTACATAATAAAATTGTTTAGCGCGTACAAGTGAAAGTTATGTTGTACTTTTACAGCATATACATCAATGTAAAGTTGTTGTATATTTGATACCGATGAATAATTATTTTTAATCTATATTTTTTTAATCGTTTTGATTAAACGCATACTCTCCATTGTAAGTTGGACAACTGAAAGTAACAGAAAAACCAAAAACTTTACCAACAACAGATGAACCAACAACATCAGTACCAACAACAAATGCAAATGTCAATCACCACGGCAACCAAGAACACCAACAAACAACCAGAAAATTAGTACTACCTAATGCTCCTACTCAACAGACTCCGATAGAGACAACAGAACACCGTACAACATTAGATCTGAACAATAAAGCGACAGAACAAAATGAAATAATATCAAAAGGTCAAAACCGAAGAGGTATGTATCAAATTATAGTTACAAATGCGCGGGCGATACCAAGGGGAAAATCAAAACTCATAAGTCTAGATAAGCTGACAACGCCATGGCAAAAATAAATAACAAGACGACGAAAAGACATAAAACTTAAGACTGAGCAGCACATAACCCCGAAGCGAAGACGTGTTTGTCCAAAGTGTCTTCTGCATTATCATTTTGATATGCAATATCAAAACATTACCGTAAACATATTTCATCATATAATAGACACTGTTCAGTTTAAAATCTGTATCATGTTTTTTTTCTATACAGTTTCATTATACCAATATTAAGAAACAAGTTTTACAACTTGGTGCATAAAGCATGATATACTTTCTGATTACATTTGTCGGTCTCCATGAAAGACCGTACAGGTAGTATAAGTCTATGCTAGCTGTTAATCAAAATAAATATAGAACGTTGTTTAATTGTATACACGTATTGATAAGAATTAAGTGCAAGTCTTTGTAAGAATCAGGCAATTTAAAAAAAAATTAAAACATGGCCGAAAAAAACCCACTAACCTAACCATCCTATTTTGAAGTTACTCTCATCCTGAGTTAGAAATGGTAGGTCTTTCCTTTCTGTGTGTCTGGTAATTTGAGAAATCTCTTGATACATTTTGGTTAGAATGATAGCAAATTACAGAGCTAACTCCCCTTATAAATAGTTAATTTCTAGTGAATTTCAACCAAATTATATTTTGAATTACCAGAACAGGAAAAGGAAACAAATGTTATATTCGTGCACCACTATACATTTTGAACATAGATTAATGTCAACCTGAGTGGGTTTTTGTTTGTCATGTTTTCACCGCTGCCTGATTTTTAGGCAGATTGGCACTTAAAAATATAAAAAAAACAATTCTTGCATATCTCGGCAATTAGGTCACACTGGTTAGTTTGCGCCTCTGATAATTTTCATATACAAAGGTGTGTGACAGTGAAATGTATGTCGACGTATTATTATATGAAAGTGGAACGAGCTAGAACTTCTATATATCTATCATCTTAACTTGACTAGTATGTCTACCGATCGAAGATAGCTGTCCACTGCATTGTCTGAACTATGACCGTCAAACATTTTGTGCTTTATGCGAATGTCCACAGACAACAACATCGACAACAACAGCAACAACAATAGCAACAACAGCAGACACAGCAACAGTAACAACAAAATCGACAACAACTGTTCCATCAACAACTGCTTCGTCACAAAGTTTGGCTTCAAGTAAGTTTTACATGTCAATAAAAAAATATAGCTTACAACAGTTTGAAACACACAGTCTTTATTTCTTGTATCTGATATTTCTGGGTTTATGTTTATTGTTTCGACAAGTTATTAGATATGCATTAAACGTATTTATCTAAGCCTTAATATTGTTAATTTAATCAATATTTTATCTTTTACAAGAAAACGCATCTGTCCCAATTTTTTTCCTTAACTAAAGGATCAGTTTTTTTCCAGGTAAACCTACATTTATAGATATTTATAGGCATTTTATTCAGATAAATTTTCAAAATACCGATTTTCAACCATGTTCCAAAATTTGAATTATAGGAAAAATTGGTACTGCAGTTCATTCAGTTCGTTCACTGACAGTGATTTTTATTTGGATAAATCATTGCTGAAAAATAAGAAAAGTCACAGAAAAACAGTCTTCTCAGAAAAAAATTCGAATGAAGGAACACTTCAAATAACCATTGTTATAAGTATCAAAATGTTTGATGTAATTTTTCAGCATGTAAACCACTGTACAAGTCCTGTCCTATCGAGTGTAGAACATACGATACACAAACGTACTGTCCTGTCTGTAGATGTCAGACGACAACACCACCACAAGTACCAACAACTGACAGTGGGTACACAGAATTACTTACATACACTTTCTATAATCATGTACTATTCAGTAGTAAATCAAAATAAACGGTCAATTGAAATAATAACCATGACCAAGTCATGAATCTATATCTTTAGGGCGACAAAGAGATGTGGGTTACATGTTAATGAAACAGCAACACAGTGATACAAATATTCAAATTAAAGACATGTTCCTTAGCTGATTCATCTTTTTCTGCTGGAAGTGAACATCTGAAATGAATATTCATTGCACGAAATTAAGTTAGTTACCTGGTAACATAATTTATACTACAAAAAAATATATAGAATATATATGCACATTGTTTTGCTATTTTATACAATTATAAACCTCTTTGAGTGACACTCTCCCTACACAACTGACAAGGCGTCGGATTTTAACTTCCAAATTCTGACTTGATCTAAAAAGTCACTTTGAAACATATCCAGATTATGAAGTTTATACATTTTTTTTAAATCATGTACGGGTTCATAGTATAAATTAAAGAATAACACAAAAATCACAGAAAAAAACTTATACACGGCTAAATAATGAAAAATAATCCATTAGATATACAAGTTCAGAACAACGTTTTTTTAATACTATTACTATTGAAATTTCAGGATGTGTTTCACTGCCAGTTGATTGTAAAACAGAATGTGTCAAGCTAGGATTAAATGGTTGTCCCGTTTGTCAGTGTCCTAATGTCACTGTAAACTCAAATAGTGCCGATGTAAATGTCACAAAAGGTATGAGTTGATGCCAGAAATGGTTTCTCTTATTGTTAGATTTGTTAGATTGGTGGATAAAACAAAAATCAGGAATCGCAAAATGAAATGAATTTAATGGAATTAGTCGAACAATTTGTATTGTGTGTGTGTGTGTGTGTGTGTGTGTGTGTGTGTGTGTAATGGTTTAAAAATGGTTGTCCCGTTTTTTTAAGTGTCCCAATGTCAATGTAGACGGAAACAGTGCAGATGTAAATGTCACAAAAGGTATGAGTTGATGCCAGAATTGGTTTCTCTTATTGTTAGATTTGTCAGACTGGCTGATAAAAAAATCAGGAATCTCAAAATGGATTGATTTTTTTATGTTTAACGCCACTTACAACACTATTTGCTACTTTGTGGCGGCCAGTTTATATTTGGTGGAATCAGAATGTAGCCGGAGTGCGCAAAAGGAAATGACCTTTATGGAATTAGTCGTAATAATTGTTTTTGAATGTGTACGATGGTTTGATTTTTTAAAAAAACTTTGTGGTATAATGTGTTTCTCGAGAAAATAATTAACTTTTAGATCAGAAGCAAGAATATCAATGTGTACTTTTTTCTATCATGATATTGATGCGATAAATTTGTGGTTTTTTTTTCAGATTTGACTTGCCCGCCTATAGACCGTAATTGTCGGAAGGAATGCATTACTTATGATCCAAAATCTTTTTGTCCACTTTGTCAATGCAAAACCAAAGAGGTAAATTTAATATGATTAAGCCAAGCCTTACCACATATGCATTTATCTTTCCCAAGTCAGAATCTCCTCAGTGGTTGCTTCATGTCAAATTTATATTTTGGTTATTTGGAGAATTAAGTGTTGGTGGCAAATCTTTATTGCAATTTATTCACAATTTTCATAGACCCGCTAAGATTTAGAGCTTGGTGTAGTAAACTCCTGTATGGTGCGGAATCAGGGTAATAAATGTGGATTTGAGTATATACTAAAATCGATTTTAGGATACCCTAAATTCACTTTAGCATATACTAAAATCATTTTATGATACCCTAAATTCACTTTAGCATATACTAAAATCAGGATACACTAATATCGATATGTATGACCTTGTTTCCGCGTCATGCAGCTGTCTATTGTAAAAGACTGTACAAATACCTCTTGTTATCTTTTTGGTTATCATTGTCTTTTGGTTGATGTCTTATTGTCTAATCTCCTTTCATTCAAAGTTTGTATATTATCAATACATGTTCTAGTACTTTCTTATTTTATTTACTTTCAGGAGGACACGGCGCATAACTGAAGGTTTTGATATAGTACAACCATATACCTCAAGAACTCGATGTCTCTTGTTATGTCCAATTACCCCCAAAATGTAGAGACAATAAAAAAGAATGAAAAATAACAATATTTTCAAATCTCCTTAATTATATATATAAACAGTTAAAACATATTAATTATAAATGCTGTAAAATTGAAATTGTGTTCATTAAAATAATTATGGGTTAATTATTAGTGTGCATGTGATACACATCAAATAGCTGACAGTGTAATTTAGATTGATGCCTTTTAAAAATAAAGAATATAAATGTCCTTCCTAGCTACTGTCCCACTGTTGTATCTGTTTTCGAAATGTGATAGATATTCGTAATTTAATGTTACTGATGTAGTTTCATATGTGCTGATGCAGAACAAAGCAAACACCAATCAATCAATCTTTAATTAAAATTCAAATTGAACTTACAAGTTGAAATAACACTTGAACGAGTTAGTGTGTAAAATCTACCCCGGGAAAGAGAATGTGAAAAGATATCAAAACAAAAAACTGAATAACCACAATTACATTAAAAGAAAATCGGGTGTTCTATAGAATAATGGGCAAATGTGGAGAATAAAGTGCAAAAACATAAAGAATAGAGAAAAATAGGCAAAACAAAATAAAGAACAGAGAAAAATAGGCAAAACAAAATAAAGAACAGAGAAAAATAGGCAAAACAAAATAAAGAACAGAGAAAAATAGGCAAAACAAAATAAAGAACAGAGAAAAATAGGCAAAACAAAATAAAGAACAGAGAAAAATAGGCAAAACAAAATAAAGAACAGAGAAAAATAGGCAAAACAAAATAAAGAACAGAGAAAAATAGGCAAAACAAAATAAAGAACAGAGAAAAATAGGCAAAACAAAATTAAGAACAGAGAAAAATAGGCAAAACAAAATAAAGAACAGAGAAAAATAGGCAAAACAAAATAAAGAACAGAGAAAAATGGGTCGCTGAAATATAACACGTATAAAGAATAGAGAAAATGGTAAAAAAGTTAAAGAATAAAAAACTGAAGGGCCCCATCCAGACCCTCATAGTTGTTGAGCAATGGCATATGCTTATCTCTTTGCGTGACCCTTTATCATTTATTATGGTTGCATGATTGAAAGCGTTTGACATGGAATAATCTAGGTTTTTTATGCAAAAAGGTAAATAAAGAAGGTGATTCATGGCAGAGACCTATAATACTAGTCTGTTCATGGCGAGCATAGTCTTGACTCAAAAGTTTAACTTTTATTATTTTGACCGAGTTATCGACTACCGATCAAATGATTTACGGGTTGTTAATGTTTAACGCCACTCAGCCACTTTGGCTATATCAAGGCGGACATTCGTTATTGTCAGAGGAAACTGGAGTACCCGGAGTGAACCATATAGACCTTCAGCAAGAAAACTGATTAAATAAAGTGTGCAGCAAGAATTATGGATAGATAGAAAAAAATTGTTCTGAATTACGGCATTGATTTTCATCACAGCCAAGAAAATACTAGTGAACTACTTACTAAAATTTATGCAAAGAAGTCAGAAACTGTTGCCAGGTTTATGCCTATTAAAGCCCAGTATATAGTGATCGTAGGCAGTATACTTTTTTGGTGAGCTCTGTGTGTTTGTTATTGAAGAAATACAGGGTTGTTAACAATACAAATAAGAAAGCATGAAACCTGTGAAGTTCTTGTTCTTGCTCTATATATTTTATTTTTATCAATATCAATAGTCAATCCTAAGAGGAGTTAGAAATATATATATAATAGACCAAATTTTGATCACAGAAATGCCCCTCAAACAGCCAAAACATCTCCTTATTTTTATATTTTCAGGTACATTTGTGAGGCAGTGAAATAGGTTATCATGTCCCTTTTTATGAGTCCTAGATTATATTTGTCCTGAAGAGAAAAAAAAACTTGAACTTATAGTGGACATGCAAGCAATATTGCATATTTGAGCTGCTCAGTGTATTTTATTGTTAATAATTCAACTTCTGCAATGGAGTTCTGTTTTACTAGGGTTTGTTACTGCAATCTAATTAAACATAATGTTAGTTTTCGATACGAGGGACCGTAGGATATCACAACATCGGATTTAAATCTGATTATTTGCAATTTTAGTTTGATTTATCCGCAACCGGATCCATGCTCATTATTTTAGGCTCAGCATAGACCATCAATTATCTCCCCTTGAGTTGCCGCCAAAGTCAAGATTTGTGACCAGTCAAAATACTGAAAACAAGAATGGTTTGGGTTTGTTGTTGTTTTTGTGAGGCTTTTCTCTACAAATTTAAACAAGTTTTCCATTTTTTTCTGCTATTGACAAGTAATAAGCTGTAGGTGGTCCATGTTCCTCGACAAAAATGAAATGAGCGTCCGTGGCAACCACATAGAAAAGACTTTTAAAAGGCATGTCCATGTGGAACGGACTGTCTATGGGAAAGAGTTCCATATGGCACCACGGAATAAACTGTTAAAGTGTCATTTAGTTTTGTGGGGTGCCATATGGAACTCCTACCATACATGTAATTGTATGTTCTGTATAAGCCTCCTTTTGTTAGGAGCACCACCATGAGTTATGGTGTAAAAGAGGACATTTTGCATACTGTTTTGTTTCAGCACAGGTTAGTGTGAGTATTTGCCTACCAAGTTCCTGTGCCTGGCATTGACAGGTCTTGCAGCCAGAAAGTTGGCCTTCTCCAAAACACAAATAAATAAAAATGTACAATGCAATTGAAATAAAAACATGGCACTGGCTACAGTTACATGGAAATGTAACAATAATATAAATTTATTGTTACATTGGAGACTAATTGCCGGAATGCAGGGTTGGGTAAGGAACTGATTAATTACGAATGTAACAATAATATTCGGGTCTACGGTTACATTGCGTTATTGTTACATTAAAGACTGCAATGTATGTTAGATTTATTTAAACCTTCTATAGTTATGTTGCTTAATTCTTCGATATGTACTAGATAATATTAATAATAACATTAATATTATTCAGCGAATAAGTATTGATTGTTTAGGTGTTGTTAAAAATCATGACTACTACAGTTTAGTTCAATATCACTATTGATGAATACTTAATGAACTGTTCAATAGAGCATGTACTGTCACGACTGATAAGATCACAAAATATCTGGACTCTGAAAATGAAAACACTGTTTCCACCAATTTCAATCTGTCGGCAAATGTCAACATTAATTGCTTTCCCAATTGACTTGTATTTAAACAACCTAACATGCTTCCAAAAAAAATATTGGACGAAAATGTAAACATCGCAAGAGTAACAAAATATTTTTCACCTGAAGCATGGCATTCAGACATTGAAAGTTTCTTAAACTTCATAAAGGGAAAATGCAGAATGGAATTGTACAGTATGCAATATAGAGCGTGTGCATTGCCGTATCACTGGTTTGTGATGGCTGCTTAGAGTGGTTTCACCGAAAATGCGTCGGGCTAACAGTGTTCTCCCCAGAAATTTTGGATAGCATCACATTTGGCGTAAAAAAATAAACATTTTTTTCAATGACATTTGACGCGTCGCGGCGATGATCTATTTCCTTTATGTTATATATGTTTATATTGTTCAATTCATTACTGAGAATACAATTAAACTATAACCATGATAACAGTTGTTTCAGTTTATGTTTTCTATATTCATTTATAGTTACAGAATTATTTTTTTCCTCTTGGACCAAATAAAAATATATGTGTGGTTCCAGTTACCTACTCAACTAAATGAATGAATGAATGAATGGTTTATTATAGTGCAACCTGTATATATACAATACTAAATATCTAGCAAAAAAAAGAACTGGTTTTATATAAAAAGGGAAGGGAATGTATCATATAGCAATAAAATTTCAATTAAAAAACTTTTTCTTTATCATGTCTATGAAATTCATTGTTTAATGGTACTCAATGAATTAGTCCCAGTTGTTTCTTTATATCAAAATGATATATATTTTTAACAAAGTTAAGCTACTTTAGCATGTTTAGTCAGTATATTAAAACAATGCTTTTTCAAAGAGAATACATTTAGCAAAGATATCTAATAAATAGTCTGTTAATGCAATGTGTGCATCTGTAGTTATTATCGTAAAAATGCGGAATTTTGTCATATCTGGTCCAGTTCCGATCCGTAGTTTACACAAATATAATGGCGGCGGAAGAAAAATTTACGAAAATAAACAATGTTTGACAAGAGATTAGGGATGCATATGACGCTTTAAATGCATTAAATGGATGAAACATTAACTAAAGCCAATTATGATCTCTTTCTAAAGAAGTATCAAACTTATTTAACTCAAAATCAAAATGTTTAATATACGCCATGTACGCTCTCGATTAACTAGATACCGGAAATGAAAGAAAGTATTTTTTTTAAAAGTTGTAAAAATATACGACCTAACCTCTTTTCTTAAAGAGAGAAATCGTTTGTATCTTTGAATTTGGATTAATGCAAACGTAGATTTCGAATTGTTTTTCGATTTTCTGATTAAATTTTCTCCATGTTGAAATTTGCGATTGGACCACGTGGTATTAGACATGTCACAAGTGTCAGCTTGGGGTATTCGTATCCATTCAGTTATCACCCAAAGGGCAATTTACACCTATTTAATCACTCTAAATTGCCTCTATTGTCGGACTTGAAGGGATTACAATTAAAGGTGATATAATTTTTATGATCACAAGCGGTAATTAGATGAAAGTTCAAAATTTAGGACATGGTTTTGCGATATAGAGACAAGAAAAATAGCATCCTCAAAATAATTATAGCGTCGCGGATATATTATAGCATCACGGGAAAAAAATATAGCGTCTCGGTGCCGCGACGCTAAAACGGCCTGGGGAGAACACTGGCTAAAACATGCTCCAAAAACAACATACTGGATTTGTAGAAACTGTCATTGTAAATAAAAAATCAAAATATTGTATGCAATATTGTAAATATCAAATAAAAGTTTTCAAGTTTTATTTTAATACATATTTATTACTATTCCCATCGTACATTGCAGTGCGTCAATGTAACAATAACGCAATGTAACCGTAGACCAAAATGTTATTGTTACATTCGTAATTAATCGGTTCCTTACCAAACCCTGCATTCTGGCAATTAGTCTCCAATGTAACAATAATTTTTATATTATTGTTACATTTCCATGTAACCGTAGCCAGTGCCTAAAAACATATGAACACACCAAGTGACCTGATTCCCTCATCTTTAAAATTTATACTGTATGTGCATGGGATGAACTTTACATTTTTGACGAGATAGAATCTTCAACAGACCAAGTCCGATCATTTGCAGATATTGTTAGGAGGGGGTATTTGGACTAATCGCTACATGACAAACACACAGCTGTGTAATAAACTCCATTGGATGTGTCACTGTACCATATCAAGATCAAGATGTAATTAGGTGCAAGACAACTTAGCACAAAGACAACTAGTACTGTATATAATGTCAACTCGAACAAAGTATAAAAAGACTAAAATTTGGAATATTTCAATGATTAAATGAGGTCTACTAAAAACACAACTTGGACTGTCTGCACTAATTAAACTGTTAAAACTAAGACATACACTGAAGAAAAGGTTATTGCATACAGCATGTACACTACTAGAAATTATAGTTTATATATAAGCAGTTCTGCAGATATTTATTCAAAAGTAAAGCTCATTTCATGAACTAGAAGCTTATATTCATAACCAAGACCAAAGTAAACTTCATCTCATGTTCATCTCTGAGTATCAAAATACACTACAATGTAAAACTTGCAAAATATACCTTTAAGGAAGGTCCAAAGATATTTGTACACTTTAAAGGAGGCGATTGACTGTAATTTCTTAGGTGGCATTCTGACAATGCACCTGATGTGCACTGAACAGCATCCCCTGTGTCTGGGTTATACTGTCTTATTCCTGTGATAATGTACTAAGTTTTCCATCACTGACTAGGCTGCAGTGCATTAATATTGTCTTTGCTTCATTGTACATGAGGGCAAGTGGAACTGGTCATTTCCCTTCTTTGCCTGTCTGAGTAAGTCAGCCTTTGAGATTTATTTCTCGACAACCTGTAACCTGTAAATGAACTACATGTAATGTAATCCGGGCTTTCAATAGAAGACGGTAGCTGGCAGTTTTATCCGTCTATAGCACAGAAATCAGCCGGCTACTTAGCCAAAAAGTATATTGTTAAAAATCACAAAAAAACTGTTTTAGAGATTGATCGAGCGATATGAAGACAATAATTCTATTTCTAAAAGAATAAAAATCTAAAAATAATCCGTAAAGTTTGTGTGCCTAAAAGTCTAAAAATAGACAATCAAAACTGACCTTGAAATGTTTTTACGCAAATAATTTTGCAAAACGAAACCTATGTCATGTATGTTAAAAGCCCTTTACAACATGTACAATAAGCATGATAAGTTCGTTTTCCTTTTTTTCATAATTCTGGAAGATTTTTCAACTCCTAGATGAAATGGACTCGTCCAAACGTGAAAGAAGTTAATTTAAAAGTAACAAATATTTTCAAACAATTTGGAATTTCTTATTCATAGATAGTCTGATTGAAAAAAAGTTCTTCCATTTGGATATCAAAACAGATATCTTTGACTTTCCATTGGACGGGTCTACTTCGTTTATGACACAGATGGTAAAATGTTATTTTCGTGCGATGTGTGTGTAAATTTTATATCAAGTGTATTTGTGCTTGAAGCTCATCATTCGCTTTATATCCTGAAAGTTGATAAAAAGCAATGAGAAGCTGTGTTTTTTTTCGTTGTTGAAATGGCCATTTATTTCCTGTTTGTCCTTGGACATACCCCCTTTTAAAAACTTATTTGACGATAGTATACATTCACTGTACGTTTAAAGCAGCTTTTTTAATGTTTGGACCAAATAAATTAAGAAAAACCATACAAAAAATTTATGTTAGTAAGCTGGTAAGCTGAAATATTTATCAAATTTACACATATTTCTGTGTTGTAAGAAAGTTTTTTCTTTTTTTTTAGACTGCCTGTCAGTAGTGACCCGACTTTTTCACACAAAAAAATGTAAACCAACAAATTCAAAACTCTGGCATTGGGAAAAGAAAATATTTGTTTAATTTCTCATAATATAGATCGATTTTCTAACCCTAATCTTACAGTAAAATGTGTTGACTGCCCCTTCCATGCTAACGTAAAAAATCATAGTTTACACTTGTATTCAGCAGCGACATCTAATAAATTTGTATCAAAAAATGTGTATAACACAAATACATAGAGAAAAAGGGTCATGACAGCTAAGATAACTGATTGACTATGACTTTTAATTTTGTTGTAACCATGAAAATTGCAGATTTAAGTTAATTAAATGCAAAAGCATATACCATATACGAATAAGTTTATTAATGTTATGTAATCTGCTGCTGAGACATTTTCCAATTTTAAGGATAAAAACAGAAACTTGCATACTTGTTTGATCAATTTAGTGATAAATATCAAAACAGTCATAGAAAAGAATAGAAATAGAGTAGAACATTTTATTTTAAGTCAGGTTTACATGAAACATTACAAACATAAGCTCTGTAGAGCTATTTGCCTAAATTAATAACAAAAACAACACATACAATATTAAGACATATATATAAAACATACAGAATTTTGTACTATAAAATTGAGAATGGAAATGGGGAATGTGTCAAAGAGACAACAACCCGACCATAGAACAGACAACAGCAGAAGGTCACCAACAGGTCTTCAATGCAGCGTGAAATTCCCGCACCCGTATGTATTTATTTATTTCAGCAGTTATTTTGAGACAGAATTCTTTTTTCCCCTTGAAACTTGTGAGATGTATGTTAAAACTGAAATGATATTAATCATGAGGATCAGTTAAGAAGAAAACAATCAATATATTAGTTTTAATGGCCTGTATCAAATGGCTTGTAAACTCTTTTCTACATGTTGAAAGTTCAATAAGAATTTGTTTTAAAAAATCATTTTTTAGACAGTCCCATCTTGGTTTGTAATAACAGAAAATTTCTAAAAGCTTTGTAATCAAAATTTGAAATTTACAAAAGGTTCCAAGAGGCAGTAAATAAACAAAAGACACTAGCTTGGTATACTTCAAAATTTTGATACGGTTATATAAACCAAAATTCATTAAAAAATGAAAACTTCACACAAAAAAATGGCAATCTGAAAGTTGTAACTATATATGTGCCAGGAGGCTGCCAGAATGCAGGATTTTGCTTCAAAAAACCACAGAGCTTCTGGGGTCCTTAAACAGCCACCATACCCCCTTGCTCGCTGCGGCAGATGGCCTTGTCGGCTGTATTGGTGGATTGGCTACTTTTTGGTTTCAGCCTCTTACTTCAAATTCTACTGAAAGCCCTGAAAGCAAATTTTTCACTGAAGTCACACATTATGTGGACTCTCCAGTCATCTGCTGACTTGTAGGTCAAAGTATTCAAAGCTTTTGTTTACCTGTGACTTTCATCATGTTCATATATCAATTTTGACCTGATTTGGATTTACTCCAAAGGTTTACCAGTACTGTCAATTCATTTATTTTTTTGTGGGTACATGTACCAATTTTTGTGTGTATTTAACATGGTTTTGCCAAAGTCTTTCTACAAGCCTAAAAAAATGTGTACTTCGTTTAGTATTTAAATTCGTGATTTATCTATACCAATGAAAAATTTGGTATCCAACGAATAATAATGAATCCAGAGTAATAAAATGCAAAATACTGGTAACTGTGTCAATATTTGACAAGAAATTGCAGTTTAAATTATCAAATGAATTGTTGGACAAGACGTGCCAGAGAATTAAAAGATGATGCAAGGTTTTAGTATATTGGATTTGGTTACAGATGTACATGTACATTATTTATTTTTTATTACATAGCTTTTATATAGCGCCTATCTAATAAACATAATACTCTAAGTGCTTAACATATAAAATTGAAGGAAAATATATATCACAATGCATACAATAATAGCAAATATATATATATATATATATATATATGAACATAAGAATGAAACAGAAAATAAATAGAATAATGATGTTAATTAAAAGCATTGAAAGGGGAATTATATATCACAATGGATACCATAAAAACATATTAGAATATAATATGATAGTGGAACTTACATGACTTAGATGAACATTGTTATTTGAAAATATTAAACACATTTAGGGCAATTCTAAAAACTTCATTGCCATTGTCAATCACAAAGAGGAAGTTAGAAGAGCTTACTCATTACACATGAAGGAAGTGTTATACAATTTTTTTGATAGTGTTGACAAAAATTTGAAAATAGAAAGCTCTATCAGGCTATAAAAAATTCTCTTCAGTTAAAACCTTTTCATAAAAAACAGTTTCAGATGTTGGTCAAATAACAATGATTTTTACATTGAATGAAATTATATTTTTTTTTATAGTTATAAGCACATAAGTTTATACATGGGTTCCAGTGGAAGTAAGAGCAAACCTGAACCAAATTCAAGTAACAATGCTGGCCCCGAGTCCACTCATAAAGACAACAAATCTGAAGGTTCCACAAGTTTGCCACCTCTGAATCCACCACAGAGCACAGAGGATAAAAAGATGACCACTGCAACCAGTAGTGTAACAAAACTGTCTGAAGTTTCAAGCTCAACAAGTCAACAAAATCAGAATGAACAAAGTAAAAGCAAGGGAAGTAATTCATCAGATTCTAAGGAGGAAACAAAGGGAGATAATTCTCAAACAGTAGTGGAAGATGATTTTATTGAACCAGAGGACCAAAGGAAGTTTGATGAAGCTGTGGGTTGTGCATGTGTTCTTATTAAACCGGAAAGTTTAATGAAAAAAGTGACAAAAAATATAACAAAACTACAAATGTTCAGAGCATTGCCAGTGAATTATAATTTTTATGATTTCCTATCCAAGTTGTCAAATTTACAGGTAAGAATTCAATTGATTACTAAAGCTGTGAGTTAGAGGTTTGTACCTAACCCAAGGGAATTGCATATCATTAGTGTTCTATATCGTCTGTGTCTAAATACATGTATGCCTTGAATGAAATAAACTGATCTAAACACATCAAAGATCTACCTTTTACACCTGTCCAAATTCTCAGAATAACGGAAAACACATAATAAATGTCACAAACAACCATTGACAAGGGTGATAGGCACAACTTTATCATGTGAATTGAATCTCCAAATATTCACAAGTACAAAACGAAGTAAAAGTAGTGGTACATTTATATAATTGACAATATGACAGAGAAGTCAAGTATGTAGGAAAACTTACTGTCAAAGAAACAGAAGCATACAGTTATCAGAAAATGTTTCATTTTTACTACACAGTAACAATTGAAAGACAGAAAAATCTGTTAAGATATTCAGAAATGATTAAGTTATTGCTTTGCTCATAGTGCATTCATAGCACACATACAATTTGTTTGTAATTTCATGTAATTATGCGAAATGTTTCTTTATTACAGGAAATTGACATATCTAATAATAACATAGGACCACACTCATTCAGGAGTATCTGTTTAGCAATGTGTAACAATGCGACAGTGTCTAGTCTAAATATAGCAGATAATATGGCTGATACAGATAGTGCTGTAAGTATAGTAATGAGTTTGATAACGGGAAGGTCAGAGGTCACAGTGCATTTGTCCAGGGGCTTGATAAAGATAAGATCAGAGGTCAAAACATTTATCAGGAAAAGTTGGATATAGGAAAGATATTATTAAAACAGCATTCCTAAAACATACATCCATGACATCATGCATTTTCTATTTGAAAATTTTTTTTTTTTTTATTGTCTATTAGAAATATGCATGCAAGCAGTAGCACTGGTCCCATACAAGTTGATGTAGGTTTGTCATGGAGACTGCCATCTGAGTAATCAATAATACCAAGGTGATGTAGGTTTGTCAAGGAGACTGCCATCTGAGTAATCAATAATACCAAGGTGATGTAGGTTTGTCAAGGAGACTGCCATCTGAGTAATCAATAATACCAAGGTGATGTAGGTTTGTCAAGGAGACTGCCATCTGAGTAATCAATAATACCAAGGTGATGTAGGTTTGTCAAGGAGACTGCCATCTGAGTAATCAATAATACATAAAAAGAGACCTAGTGGTATACTACTGTTGCCATTATTTAGTACATTGTATTCAGGAAACTTCCAAAGATTGTCAATGATCACATTATTCCTTTAATAATGGTCTTAGAAGTAATAATAATTGAACAAAGACAAACCACTGTTAAGGGTCTTGACTTTGAGCTGAAACAGTAATGATAAACTAGTTTTGTTATATACATCTAAGCCTTTAGATTATTTTTAGGCAGTTAAGCTGCCTTATGCTAGCACCCTAGATTTGTGTTCTTCCCAACGAATGCTGAAAAAAAGTGTCATTGTTATAATCTAGCAGACTGATATATTATTTATAACTAATTGTAACAAATTTTTCTTACTTTAAATTTTGGAATACAAAAAGTATAACCAGAATAACCTTAAATGATCGTCAAACGACCCATAATATTTGAAGTTGCACATAGGAAATAGTGCTCAATAGAAATCTGTACTTAGTTTATTATCCCCTGTGCTTTTGGCTAAGATGTTAAAGAACAATTGTGTGAAATATTTCATCGCCGAAAATCTGTAATTACAAGTCATTTATATTTCCCAAATGGCAAAATGCACAGGAATACTTTCATGTGCAACAAATCTCTATGATAGAGGAAATAAAGTTATATATCTAAGTTGGCGGTAATTTTACAACTTATCTTGCCAAATAAGGTTGTTGTTTTATGAATGAAACGAGGCCATGAAACATCCGGAAATCGACGTCGATAGGATGTTTTCAGTAATGTGGACAACTCGTCCCCGAGACAAGTTGGACCGAATCCACTCAAACCGTCAAAGAAGACACAGGGGTTCAAATTAGCGGTGGTCCGAGGTCCGCGACCTTCCACTTTTGCAATCGGACTTTCGACTTGGTTACTAACTACGCCCGACGGACCTTCGACTTGAAAGAAAATAAAAATATAACTTTGAAAACCTTTAAAGGCTTTTTACCAAAGTGACGTCTCCAAATAAACGATCTCAAAACTTATTTTCATCTTTATTATTCATGACAGCGATGTTAATTTTGTTCAACCGCTAGCTTTATACAGAAAATCGCCGACAAGTAAGTTCAAGTAAGGTGTAAATTTGAGTAAAATCGTATCTGACTTGACAAAAACAATATTGAAAAACAATGAATGCCATGAAGACAATTACATTATCGGGTCCAATTCCGGAAGCGGATTAGGGTAATTCAGGGTTTTGGCGATCAACTGACTACATAAAAAAAAATTTCAGGCAGGTGACAAAATACATCTATGGTAATGAAATATAAACACTAGAACTGAAAACCAAAAGATATATGGAAAAGAAAGAAAAAGCAGAAAATATTTTATACAGAAACTCAAAATTACTTTTTGGCAAATTTTAATGTCAAAATCCAATACAATGTGACAGTATAAATTTTCTTTATCAGTGATAAATGTTGATAATGCATGTAGATGTTTTTAAAGTGTAAACATATTACTGCAATTTCAAGGGGTAATTTTTTCTCAATTTAAATTTTGAAGGGCCTGTTAAAATAGCTGGAAGTTTCTTACTTTATTTTCACAAATAGTACAACTAGATATGATACCTGAATGTAAGCAAAGCAGCATAAGCTCTAGTGGACTTTTAAAATCGAGCTGAAATACGTGTGAGCCCTGAGATAATCATGGCATAATTAGCAATTTAATACCAATCGTTGAGACAACACACCCATCCACAGTGACATGCATCCTCCCCAATACCAAAAAAAAAAAAAGATTACTTGAATTAATTATATAAAAGACAATTACATTTATCGTGAAAAACCGTGAACATGGTGAAACTGACAATGAAATAAGCTAACCTCATACCAAAAGCACATTAATTTTGTATCTAACTGAGTTATGAAATATTTTAAGTAAAAGTAGGACCTGGAATTTAGGTTGTGGACCTTTCAGTTGGAGAGTCAAAGGTCCTGGACCTTCCAGTACCAAATGTTAATTTGAACCCCTGAGACAACTCGGACTGCTTGTCAGATGTTAGACTAACATGTCTAGTGGAGCCATCAATCTTTTGCTTGTGCATTGGGGTCTATTTAGGGGTATTTTGAGAGGCCTAAAGAAGGGATGGGTTTACTGTAGAACCCTATGGGGTTTTAGTTTTTAATAAATTTTCTCGAAAACAGTAAGTGATAGACACACGCGGTCTTCAGTAATGAGTAAAGGACAATAAAACAAATCAAATAAAGTATAGGGTGAGTCCCTGGGGGTCGTCACAACCCCCTTCAATTTGAAAATATGCTTTTATCTTGTAAACGGTCACAATCCCCACCCCTAAACCATATATTTACTTGTATGGGACAATAAAACAAATCAAATGAAAATAATTTGGGGGAGTACCCTGTGTCACCCACCCCCTTCTGTTTGAGAACTTGTAAACGGTCAAGATCCCCACCCCTAAACCATATATATTCATGTATGGGACAATATAACAAATCAAATGAAATATATGGGGAGTCCCTAGGGTCACCCACCCATTCCTGTTTGAAAACTTGGAAATGGTCGAGATCCCCACCCCTAAACCATATATATTTATGTATGGGACAATAAAACAAATCAAATGAAATATAAGGGGAGTCCCTGGGGTCACCACACCCCTCCTGTTTGAGAACTTTTAAACAGTCGAGATCCCCACCCCTAAACCATATATATTCTTGTATGGGACAATAACACAAATCAAATGAAATATAGGGGGAGTCCCTGGGGTCACCCCACCCCTCCTGTTTGAGAACATTTAAACGGTCGAGATCCCCACCCCTAAACCATATTTATTCATGTATAGGACAATTTAACAAATCAAATGAAATATAGGGGAAGTCCCTGGGGTCTCCCCACCCCCTCCTGTTTGAGAACTTGTAAACGGTCAAGATCCCCATCCCTAAACCATATATGTCCATGTATGGGACAATATAACAAATCAAACGAAATATATGGGGAGTCCCTGGGGTCACCTCACCCCCTACTGTTTGAGAACTTGGAAATGGTTGAGATCCCCACCCCTAAACCATATATATTCATGTATAGGACAATTTAACAAATCAAATGAAATATAGGGGAAGTCCCTGGGGTCTCCCCACCCCCTCCTCTTTGAGAACTTGTAAACGGTCGAGATACCCACTCCTAAACCATATTTATTCCTGTTTGTCATTTCAAAAAGATTTGACTGACATACAGGGTCAATCCCCTAGGTGTCACATATGCATATATATCACTTTACTAGACCAAACCAATATGTACTGGACTTGGCCAAATGTCAGGGGACCATGGGAATGATGAATTATGGGAGCTTTGTTTTGGGAGACGGCATTCTGTTACAATTATTTCTTGTTTATTATAAAATTTTATTGATGCAAAAAATTAGTCTAGGTTAATTGAATTTACACTAATTATTTTTTGAATTATTTCTGGGCCTATAATAATTTTCATTTATGGCTCATTTTAAAGAAAACATATAAATCTTTCAAGCAGTGTAAAGCCCAAGAATGTTTGACCAACTGTTTTATAATCACCTGTCATTTTATTCCAAACTTGGTATGGAGTGACATCATGGACTTGGGATGAAGATGGGGGTCATTTACATTGATATATATTCGTTGCTTTTGAAAATCTTGATGAAATATTAATTAATTTGCCTTAATAATCAATTCATTAGACAAACAGAAATGTACAATATACGAATGTTTAATGTTTGTTCTTTCAAATCTTAAAAAACAAATTGAAGCAACACTGCCACAGTTTTCATATTACGTTTGCCTTGGTTTTTGGTTAACTGCCTACAGTGCTTACAGTGCTTTGGTTTATGTTAGTGATCACATCAGTCTCTGGTTGGGTAAAGATTGCATAAATTGCAATCAAAATCTTATGGCACTGACTTGATATCGAAAGCTTCCAAGATTTATCACTACCTTTGAGATACACAAAATATAGTGCATTGATCATAATATTCTATACATTCTATCCATGAACATTTCCAGAAATTTAACAATGAAGTATAAAATATAATTATGCTCGGTTATTCATGTCACAAAATAATGTTATACTTGTAAAGAAAATTACATAACTTTTGCAAGGTGCAGGAATCTAAAATCTGTTCTAAAAATATCAATGATGTCATTGTTAAAATCATCTTTAAAAATTGGAGTTATCTTCCTTTGTCTATAATTGTAGTTGAATCAACTACAACCAATGCTTTATACAATGCAATATTTAATTTTGCTTCCCACTAATAAATTAAAGCAATCTTTACCCTTCAGTGCTTAAAAGCACTTTGATTAACCTTTAATATCCAAAACCCCAAAAAAACCATTGTTAACATTGAATCCTTAGCAAGTATTTGCTTAACATCAGATATTTAAAAACAAAATGGTGGTCAATTTAAAAATTAATTTGATTATAATACTTTCTTTCATGTTTACTTATCAGTTGCCTGCTAAACTAATAAAAGATATGTTGAAAGATTTAATTTTGATGTTCTCTGTTTTCAGGAATGTTTGGGTAAAATGTTAACCCAGAATAAGACATTGGTGTACCTGAATGTGTCAAGCAATTCCCTTGGCAAAGATTACTTCTCCAGATGTGTGGGACCAGCGCTTAAAGTGAATACAACACTCAAGACTCTAAGGTAAATGTAAGAAGTCCCCAGATGTGTAGGCCTTGCATTTACTCAACACTATAAGGATTCTCAGGCACATATTTGCAAGGCAAATCAACAGTTTAAATTTTTTTGCTCTTATATGACCTACTGATAAGTTGCCTACTCTTATAGTGAATGCAACCCTTTCAAAAAAGCTCTCAGACTGGTACATATCAATAAATGAAGTGAGACAGCAAGCAAAGAACACAAAAACCAGAATAGTCATCCAGTCTTCACGATAAACTTTTAAATCTGCAGGCCTTGAGCTCAGTTTTTGGAAAATTTTAGTTAGAGTCTGTTGGCCTGCAGAGATGATTTATACAGGCTTGAAAGCAATTTTACAAACCTGGGCTGCTTAGCCTGTGGTTAAGCATGTAGACTGAACATCTAGAAGGCAGCTAACACTGTTTTTAGAAGTAGACAAGTTACTTTACATGTATCATATTTGAAGCTGTTAATCATGCCAAGTTAAGAAAAATGTGAATAAACTTGACAGAGCCTAACTAAAGATCAACTATCTTTAAAACAAAAATGTATTTAAATGAAAGGAACAAACAATAGAAAAGAGAAGTATGTGTAATTTCTCTCAATGTTTAGTTCTTGCCCTAAAAGTTAATAGGGTATATTGGGTTATTTTCACATATGGTTTGGTTCACTGTTAGAAGGGGGCTTTAAATCTTCCCAGTGTTCATTATTTACGTTTTATTGCCTTGTACAATACTATGTAATGGACATTGAGTGTTCATGTAGTGTAAATTTTGAAGAAAAATTGTCTACTGCAAACATAAACGAAAATCATTTACACACGGAAAGTTTCTAGATATATGTACATCTTTTTTCTTAAGATTATTTTGTACCATTAGTCTTTTATTGTTTTGAGTTTGTATCTATTAGCTGCTAGACATTAAACATGCATTATCTTTTAATCAGAGCCCAGAATCTAGGATCATCAGACATGAAGGTGTTTATGGAAGGGTTGATGGAAAATACAGCAATAACAGACATTGATCTTAGTAATAACGCCTTGTCTGACAGGATGATTTTAGGCAAGGGATTTGGGGAGAAATTAAAGGTAAAATTTAGGCATTATACATTTTTGGGAAACTTATGAAATCATTAGTTCATTAAGGTAGATTAACTGTATATGGCCATCTTGGATTGTAAAATAGGAGTACACAATCAGTCTAGTTCTTTGCTTAAATCTATAAATTTTGAAACAGATTAGCAATTCGTGTGTAAGACTGTTTCTTTGAATAAAGAAAAACAAGTAATTTATTGCATTATTCAGACTGTTTTAACAAATACCAAATATTTGATTTTTTTCAAATCAATTTTTTTGATTTAGTTGTTTAAGGGGAGATAACTCTAATAGTAAAATTTGTATAAAGGAATGTTACAGAAATTTTCATTTTTTTTCTTGTAGCAAGAAAACAAGTTCAGTGACACCATTTTTTTTTTATTTTCTTAATGCAATAATAACTCATGTTAAAATAAATAAAAATTTTGTAACTAAATTACAGTTAAATGTTTTTTTCAGAATCCTAGCTGTTTCCTGAAGAGTATTTCCTTGGCTAACTGTGAGATAAATACAGCAGGGATCGATGCCTTTATACAAGGCTATGAATCTAACACAACGTTAGAGGAGCTTAATCTCAATGGTAATCAGGTAAATAGCAATAAACATTCCACCAAAAAACTTGTAGTTTTTGTGTAGTTAGGTTGCTGATTTATGGGAATTTTATGAAATATCATTAAAATTTTTAAATTCTTTACAAAACTTGTGAATTTATGTCATTGATCACATTTAATTAACAATGGGATCAATGCATTTATTGTTTACATTAAATGCACATGCACCGTATTGCATGATTGTTCAGCTTTGAAAATGAGTCGCATGAATTTTTTTATGTCTGGCCCTACTGATGCAACGCAGAGATTGTGCAAGAATACAAGTCTACAAATCACTCTACAGCCATAAAAATTAGGAAGACTGAAGCAATAAAGTGAGCTACAAAAAGTCTTCAGGGTAAAATTCAAATGAGACAATTACTGATTCAGAAATATTCTTTTATATTTTCACGAATCATGAGCTTATTAATATAAATATTAGAATACACTGTAATTTGTAAATTACTTTAATTTTCATCATCTTCATCTTTTAGTTTGAGTCATTAAAGAGACTTGGAAAACTGGTAGTTTTGGCAATGAATTCATCCACCATGAGAAATCTTAGCTTGGATATTGTCCGAGTAAAAGACAAAAATATATCTACAACAGGTTGGTTTAAAATTTTTTTGTAATAAAATACCTTTTTAGTACTTATTTACCTCTGCTTATATATCACACTGTATAGTTGTTTTGAAATTTTGATATCACTACATTGCTACCATAAAACAAAACATCAGCCACTTCAAAATGTGACAACTATACAGTAGAACTTTGATTTCTAACACAAAGGTAACTAAAACACCATGGATTATTAAAACACAATTCTGTGTCCCGTAGTGTAAATTTGATGCTGTAGAAAAATTAATAGCAACAATACCCCTATAGCTAGAAGAAAATTTGTGGTCCCTTGGATGTTTCAAAAACAAAGTTTTAATGTATAATACAACACCAGGTTAATGTTAGGATAAAATTAAGGGTTATTACCATGACTGCAAATTAAATGCTGGGAAATTCACATTAAAGAAAACATGAAAGTGGGAGTGAGATAATGTATTTTTTATTCTTTATTTCAGATTTGAAAATAGATTTAAAAGAAGATCACACATCACAGCTACAGATTATCAGTCTTAATGACTGTAGCCTGACTGACAACTTCTGGGCCTGTGTTGAAGAGGTTTTCCAAGGGAGAAAAACCCCCTTGTTTGACATTAATATTGGTTCTAATTCAGATTTATCACCAAAGTGTTTTGACTCAATCCTAAAGCTAACATCAGGTTTGAACATTTTCTTGCTTAATTTTTGAACTGTTTTTTATATTGTTAACTACCATTTCCGGTAAACCGTGAAGTAAACTGCAATTGTTGTACTTGAGTAATCTATAGCATCATGTAATTATCCTGACAATGCCACCCCAGTGGCAAAACTAGTCAACACAATAAACGATACGGCAACTTAGTTATAGCTTTAGTGTTTTTGTTTGAATCTTTTTGTATACTGACTATGTAATAGAGAACCTCCACATACTGCTAGGTATTCACTTTATCTATCCTACCATACGACTACCATAGATAGGTGAAGGTTCACTTTTATCTTTCTTAATTTTTGAAAGTATAATAACTATGGCAAAAACACAACAAAATAGTGAATACTTTGCGCTAACATGCTGAGATATATTGTTAACCTCCTCTCCTCCGCTCCCCAAAGAAATAAAAAAAATTTTTTTTATTATCAACTCAATAATACTTTAGAAAAATATCATAAGGAGATAATGATTGTGCTCTTTGTTAAATTGTCATAATTTTCCTGAAATAAGTTTATATTTTGGTCATTAGAATTTTACCACTTAATTTTTAGAGATCACTTCATTTACATTAGAATAAAGTTGAGTCGTCTAGTGTTATAAGCTAGTATCATAATTTTATATTGTAATACAATATTAGTTTTATATATATTTTTGAAATATACATTGTATGTGATTTTGCATGACCAAATCACTATGTATTGTAGCTATATAAAGAATTCACCATTTCAGAATAAACAAAAACTATGCAAATAGATTGGAAATTTCATCATTCGTAACTCAAAATAAAAAAAAAATAACATATAATTAATTGAATTGTCACTGTTGTGGACACTATTTACCAATACAAGTTTGAAAATATTACCCAGAATGCATTAGGTTCTGAAACAGTGAATTAGTGTTTACTATTTTTAGATGGAGAAGGTATCAGTACTTTAAGAAGAATAAACTACAGTTTAAACAATCAGTGCAATGGTCTGTCAGAGAAGTTAGAAAAATTTCAGGATCTGCAGTATGTCAACATTAGACGATGTAGGATTAAAGATCTCCAACAGATGGCAGCTGTGTATACAACAGGGAACCTGACTACACTGGTACTTGATGGTATCAAGCTGGCTTCTACTGATACATTGCAGGCTTTAATGGGTATATTGTTTACTTCAATTTTTACACCCCCACTATAGGCAACAGGGGCATTAAGTGTTACCCTTTACCTTCCTTCCGTCCATCTTTCTGTCCTTCAGTTCCTCCATCCATCCCATTTTTGTTTCCCCACTTTAACTTTAGTTAGCCTCATGTATATTTTATGAAACTCATACACAATGCTAAGAACCAAAATCTCAGACTGAGTTAGGATTTGGGCAGTGAGTCACTTACTGTTCTAGAGTTATGCCCCTTTTTAACTTGGAAAATTGCAAAGCTCGAGCGGGGGCATTTGTGTCCTTAGACACATTCTTCCTTTTTTTTTAAAATTATCTAAAAATATCTTCATTATACTTTTCTCTGCTGTTATGACAAATTACTGGAACTACAGCTCTTGGCTAGTATTGAAGATAGTTATGACTGGAAACATATATATAAAAGAGTATAGCTATAGTTGAGGCTAGTGGCAGTCTTGGCTTTGCTTGTTTTGTGGATTATCATTTTAGTCCATCATTTGAAGTTTCCAGCACCATCCAAATAAAGTTTTAAAATTAAGAACTCTTCCTTTAATATACTATTATTGAAATTAACAAATATGATACAAGTTGTAAAAAAATATGACTTTTTTTTACACATGCATATCTTATTTGATTATTTAATCATAATAGTTTTTGGTTTTAAGCAGTTTTAAGAAAATAATTGAAATTCTAATGGAATGTTTTTGACCACTAAAGACAGGTACATTTCGATTTCTTTGATTTCACGTTTACATAGCCAGACTTATGGTAGAAATTAATGGTTGGAAAAACCTGAAATTTTTATACCCACCCCTGCTGGATCTTTGAAAATTTGACCACTTAACATAATCATGATCTCTAAGTTGCTGCTTGCAGGGGTATCTGTGATCACTTAGATCACCTATCTAGTTGTGATCATTTTGTGATCATTCCAGTATTTTTATTGTAAACTTAAAACATTTAATGCAATTTTTAAATAACTTATTTAATCTTTTTGTCTCAACAGGGAATGTTGTTGGATCTTCTTTAAGAACTCTAAGTTTTGGAGGATGTTCCCTGTCTGCCTCTGACATAGCTCCTTTGTGTCAGGCAATAAAGAAAGGGTTCCAGCTACATATGTTGAAACTGTCAGCCAATCGTTTAGAAGATGAGGGTGTGATTGACTTGTCTCAAGCTGTTGTTAGCTGTAAGACACACACTTTAGCGGTCTTAGATTTATCAAGCAACACAGTGAGTTATAATTGATATCTGCAATGTTTTCCATTGAAGTAGCATAAAAAGAAAATCCCCTCCTACTATAACACTTGGCATTTCCCTTTGATTCAACAAAGAAACAGATTATATCAATTAACTCAGATGATTACAGTATTAATCCACTATCCAAGTAAAATTTTCTAAATTTTAAATGCTAAGGTAAATTTAAAAAAAAAATTTATAAATTTAACTTTTTGAATTAGATAAATAACTTAACCAATATTAATGGGACTTCAAATAATTATATCTATATGCTCAAGTGTATCAAATTATAATTCTTTTTCAGTTTACAGACACTGGTGCTTTAAGTTTGTCAAAGATCTTTTCCACAAAAAGTCACAAATCTCAGTTACATAGTCTCAATGTCAGTTCAAACAATATTGGTAAGATTATTATATTTACTTATATAGCCTCAGAATTAAACAAAGGAATAGAGCAGGGTTCTACTAAGGGCTATTCCATTAAAAAGGAGGTACTAGGGTCGGAAGGCAATTTTTAAGTACCCCCATGACCAAGAGGAATGTACCATGTATCTTAACACCAACCAACAGGAAGTCGTTTCATGATAATACAAGAACCAACTGGAATATATCTAACTTATTTTTTACTGGCCCTCCAAAATTGAGAAGAAATTACCTCTTGGAATTGTAGATATATGTTTACTCTTTAAAAACATCTACATGTAATATCAACATTTATTAATGATAAAGAAAATTACTGTCACATTTCATTGGATTTTGACATGAAAATTTGTGAACTAAAAGTTATTTTGAGTTTCTGTATAAAATATTTCATGCTTTTTCTTTCTTTTCCATATATCTTTTGGTTTTCAATTCTAGTGTTTATATTTCATCATCATAGATGTATTTTGTCACCTGCCTGGAATTATTATTTTTTTTATTGTATTTGATCGGCAAACCCGGAATTACCCTTATCCGACCCCGGAATCTGATCCGGTATTGTAATCGTCTTCATTTCCAGTTTATGGCTTCCATTGTTCTTCAATGTTTTTTTTGTCAGTCAGATACAATTTTACTCGTATTTACACATTACTTGTTGGCGATTTTCAGTATAAAGCAAGCGGTTGAACAAAATGAGCATCGCTGTCATGAATAATAAAGATAAAAATAAATTTTGAGATCGTTTGGAAGTTCTTGTCCAAAATTGAAAACTGGGAAAAACGTAGGGTATTTGCCATTGCCAATAGGAATGGGTCCAGTATTTGGACCCTGTGGAATACTAGAAAAATCCCAGGAGGGGTATACGATCTCAATAGTAATATGGCTTTAAAATGACCATACTGATGGTTAAAAAGGTCGGCAAAGTTAATTTTTATTTTCTTTCAAATCGAAGGTTCTTTCATTAGAATTTGACATAGTTCGTCATGTGCTTGTCATTAAAGGGAAGTAACTCTTGCACTTCTGGAACTGGTACCATAGGTAGAATACAACGCTGCGTAAGTTGCGGGAACAGTTATGTTTTCCAAAATATCATGATATGAGCAGGAGACAAAAACAATCGGTTATATAAGTCCTTGCAAAAACAAATAATAATAAATAACGAAAAATAACACAATGAAACCGACAGTCACAAAAACTGACTGTCAAAGAAGACCAACAACCAACAATACTTAGTTTCTCTAAACACCAAGGACCACTGGCCATAAACGCTTCAACACATCAATAACCAACGGGATTTTTTATAATTGCCATCCGACCCTGGTACATTCTTTTTAATGGAATAGCCCTAAGGTGAGTCCATGAGTCCTGGACTCATCAAAATCTGTCTGGACTCATCATTTTCAAAATTGTGAGTCCATAGATGCATCAAAATTGTACAATGTATCAGCTGAGCACATATATCATCATTTTAAAACATTACTTTAGTATAATCTAAATTATATGTCATTTCCTTGCTCTATTTTGTCATGGAGACTGAAATTATATCATATATCAATAAAATTTCATCTTCTCACTGCTGGATTCGCCATTGATAAAAATGATGAGTCCCTGGAGTCACCTTCAAAAATCATTAGTGAGAACCCTGATAGAGTGGTTTCTGATCTATATATAAATTTGACTATTAAACTTATTCTTTATTTAGGTAAATCAGCATTTTAATAAATCTCGTCCTTATTGAAATACTTTATTTGCTAAAACCCATTTCAGCTCTCAAAGATATAACTATTTTTATCGCTATTTTACGAATTGTCCTTTGATCTTACTGACTGATAATTTCCTTTCTCAGCACAATAGAGTGATATGAAAAATTATCGCTAGAAACTAAGGGTGCACGTGGAGTTGTCAATGAAATTAACAACTTCGTCATAGGTAAAATAGCGATAAACAGATTATCATTGGTCATCTCAACTCAATTGCTTTTCTCACTTTCTCCATACCGGCTCAAGCGAGAAAATCAATCTCGTTGAGATGACCAACGATAATCTATTTATATTTGACAATAATTTTTCAGTTTCTACAAGGCAAGTTACATGTTATAATTTGAGATTGTAGAACGAGTGAAAAGTAAGATGATTTTTTTTTTAAAATTGGATTTGACCTCCCCATCAAGGAACAGGCATTATGGATAGATTTAGAATTTTTATACTGCTGTTTACTGGACGTATTATGGTATACTGTCGTTTGTCTGTCTGTCATCAACATGTCAGACAACAACTAAAAAACGCCTTAACCAATTTGCATGACACATTGGTGAATTGTTTATATCTATTTATGTAAGATTTTTATGAACTTAAAAAATAAGTGTCTGAGTTACGTTTTTTTTCTTTAAACAAGGTGGATTTCCAGTGCTCTGACAATGACCCCAAAATGCTTTGAGCAGTTTTCAGGAAACTTTGCTGAATTGTTTATATCTATTGACGTAAGCTCCCTTTCAAATTTTATGAATTTCAGATTTTATTTATAGTATTTTATGCATAAATGAAAGTGTGATTTTCCAGTTTTCAGACAATAACACAAAAGTAACGTGCTTGGAGCAGTTTTCATGAGACTTTGGTGGCTGGTTTATTTCTTTGAAAATAACCTCCTTTTCCTTTCTTTTTATAAATTTCTGATATGACATTGAAGGCGATGGGTGTACATGCGGTCACAGCTCAGCTCTTTATTTTTAATGCTGTGAAAATAAAACAAATGACATGGAACCATACATAGTTTGTGCTTTATATTTATTAATTTCAATAATGGATGTTTCTGTTTCCTTTTGTGGAATTTATTTATGCAATTTAGAACATTAAATATTGGCATTTTTACAATTTCATTATATATATCTATTTCCAGGTAAAGAAGGACTTATGAGCTTGGTAGCAATGGTTGGTGGGAAGTCTCCGTTACGTTCTCTTCATGCACAAAATCAAACAGAAGGTTTGAAAGAGTCGGAAATGACAGAATTATTTACCAAACTTGCATCAGTATTAGGTTAGACTTCTGTTTTGTGCATTAACGTAAAGTAATACAATTTTGACAATATATTTTACTTGTGTGGTGCTAATTTCAAGTATGTTGCTATTCCAGGAAAATTAATCTCAAATTTAGCCAAAGTATTTTTGAATTTGGATTTTAAAGCCAATGAATAGGTAATCTGAATGAATGAATAGTCTTGAAGAAATTGACTTTTAGAAGCTTTTATATATTAGGTATAGAACAGAATGTATAAAATGAGAATCAGGAGCATTTTTGGTATTATAGATTGGTAAAGAGAGATTATTAGATTGATTCACATGAGACAAAGGTGTCTCGAAAAAACTAGGGCAGTTCTAAGTTTTGTTTTTAATTTTGTAAATTTATAATTGTTGATAGTTATTTATTACCATTTTGAAAAATTACTAATCAAATGTATTTTATGACAGGATTTAATATAAAGAAAATAGGAGCCAGTACTTCTGATCTACCAAATTTACCTGAAGGATTACTGGTCAACTTATCATGGATGGGAGGAAATCCAGGTAATGGGAGACAACTCCAGTTACATTTGTACAATCTTTCTAATATGATATCAATATGTTATGGAGGAGAAAGTTTATAAACTTTTTATACAATGTGCCTTTAAAAAAAAAAGCTACAAAACCCCCAGATGTGCCCAATTTTAAGATTATAACTACTTAATTTTAGAAATTCAGATTTGTAGAAAAACTTATACACATGCAACAAAATCATGAAAATGAATGATTATTTAAGTCCTCAATTGGTATACGTTTTTTTCAAGAGATTTGGAAAACTAATAAACTATTATCCAAAGTGCTGAACAAAACAATGGTATAGCAGGCCTTACAAGATTGTATTTGTATACTGTAAATTCCATGCAATAATTATTTCTATTGTTGAGCAATGAACACAAACAAGAGATAGATTATTGCGATTTCAGCAAATGCTGTATACAAATAATGCTATCAAAAGAAAGAATGCACACTTATATTTTTGTGCCATCCCATTATCCAGTCACAATTTTCACCATTATGACAACATAGTATTTGTGTAATTACAATTGTTAAGATAAAGGAGTACTTATAAAGTAAAACAGTTAATCGATAGAAGATCACAGTAAGCTTATAAAAGCTTAAAAAATCCTTATTTCAAAATTAAAGGTTATTTTTACCCTTTATTTTCCTTTTTCAGGAGAGACAGGAGCCATGCTTGACAGTCTAAGAATACTTACAGATTATCCTAATGATAAAATACCAACCATGACTTTTGGACATATACAAGAACTATGTGCTTGGTTAAAACATACAGGTAAACTCAGTGCTCTTAGTGTTATGATAATTATTTTTTACTCAAGATTTTAGATGTCCTGGACTTTCCTAGCTTGACTGGGGTCTCTGTAGCCAAGTGTTCTGAGTACTTTGTCTGCAGTTATCACTAATCTGCCAAGACTGAGGTTATCAGTTCAAACCCTGCATGTGGCAAATGAATTTGACGTCTTTTTTAATTGGCTTTGACTGCCAACTTAATGCCACAATATAGAAAAGAGTGCTAAAACACCAACAACCAATCAATCTAACCTATCTTGAGACTCATTGTTCCTCATTGGTGCATGAAAAGCCAGAGGACTGTATTGTACTTTTATTTTTTACCTTGCCTGGTATAGCAGAGGACATTCTAATGCTTGTCCATTGTTGCATTAAACCATCACTTTCTCCATTCTTCTGTCCAGTATCAGGTTAAAGTTTGGATTTCAGATGTAACTTAAAACTTAGAACACAATTTTATGTTGCTGTACACTTATTGAAATACTTACCAAATTAGGGTTATAATCCAGATCTTACAGTTTACTAAAGCTGAAAATATTTCTCATTACTATTGAAAAATGGAAAATATACATTTTGGAGGGTTGTATAATTGGCAATCATACTGCATCTTCTATTTTTTTTATGGTCACTATTTATCTGTAAATTGTCCTGGGTATCATTCACATTGAAATATTTGTCTGTTTATTTAATCTTATTATATTTTTTAGGAAATAATGTATGTGTTTGGTCAAGTGAAGAGTGGGGACTGATAACAGGGTCAGGTCGACCTACTACAGATGCACCATCATGGCTGCAGGTATTGAAAGACTATATAAACTATTGTTTTTGTACTTAGTAGATTAACAAAGAAAAAATTATACAGTAGACTCCACCTAATCGGATATCGGCTAAACGAATATATCGGCTATTGTAATATTATTTCAAAACACCAAACCCTTCCCTATATGTTTAATGTTAATTTTATCGTGTAATCGAATATCGGATATAAGAATATATCGGCAAATCGGATAAGAATATTCAGAAAATTTTGTTCAAAACCATGCACAATCGGATATTTTCAATGTTTTTCTGACAGGAAATGGACCCGGAAGTTACGAAATTACAATCTTGCAGACAAGGAAATTAAGTTTTTATTTAATAAATTGTTGTCTCAATTCATTGTCTTCCTTTGAAATGTGAATTAGATGCCCTTTAAATTCAAATAGTTTGAATTTATTAATAAAATATACAAGAGCAGTAAGTTGCTGTTTGCCGGTTTGGAAAATTTTGATAAAACTATAAATGTTCAAAGAATCGGAAATATAATTCAGACTGAATGTACCTCCTTCTGAATATTTTATTGCAATATACATATAAATCCCTTTTGACAAGAGAAGTCTGACTTTTGTCAGATATAATTTTGTAACATGTGCATGACCACAAGCATGTCATGGACGCCATTTTGTTTTGTTTACAAAATGAGAAGAAGCCTCGAGAACCATGACCTAAACACAAACAGTCTTCAGAAAATTTAAACTTGATGCAATAATATTTTATTAATCATTATTATTTTCATAAATTCAAATTTGATTATTTAAAGAAATACTCCTCAAATAAAATATATATTAAAAACTATTTTAGTTTAGAGATTGTGCACACAACCACAGAACATGCTTTGATCTATTTATAGCCCAACAATTAGCTTACCTGTGATAAAAGTAAATAAAATGGATATTAATTCGTTTACAAATCAAATAAAGACACAAACTATGTATGGTAGATATTTATTCACATAAATATTTCAGGACATATGATTCATTTTAATAAATATAGGATTTAAAGACTGAAAACAAATATGATCATTTAAATACATATCAGCTGACAAGTTTTTACACAAACATCGTTGTGATGTAACTGATATTACATAAAAACCCCTCCAATACTCTAACCCTTTCATATATATGAAGCAGTGGTCAGGGCTAGTTACATCTCAGGATTAGATCAACTCATTATTGCAGAATATTCAATGAATATACATTTATCGTCTAATTGAATATATCGGGTAATGGGATATTTTTAGCTGACATTTTGGGTATCCGATTTATAGCCGGAGTCTACTGTATATTGGTATGCTATTCTGTATATCTTCATCTCTCGTGGACTGTCTAAATTTCATGTTTAGTATGTCTTTGGTTCCTTGAGGTGTAATACTACCATTGATTTCCCCCTATTAGTCTTTGTTAAATTTGTACATTAAAAATGTGCAGAATTTATCTTTGTTTCAAATAAAGAAAGACTTCCCATGAGTAAAGTTTTATCCTGTCCAGTACTATAGACAAAATTTCACATAACATTTCATTGGATAAAGAAAAAAACCATCACTGGAAGTTAACCAATCAAATTTTCACCACTTTTTTAACCTGTGTACAAGCTTTTAACCTCAAGTTTCCAAAATATTCTATACAAACCCCAAATAAAAAAAATAATGGTTCTTTGAAATACCCAAGATATATGTTTATGACCCAGAAATTTTTTACTGCAATGAAATGTAGGATTAATTACCTACAACTGTCAAATTCAAGGGAATATTATTTTTGACCCTTTTTCGTATGCAATTGGACATAATTGATTTCTCTTACGTCTTTGAAACTCATTTTACTCTAAGTAAAAGCATGCATTTTAAAAAATAATGATCGTAAATAAAGTCTGTATGAAATTATGATAAACATCAATTATAATATTAACTAAGTAATTTTCTTGAATTCTTTATTTTCTGTCTAGCCCTGTCCAGGAGACTTCACAGTGATTTGTTTTTTGTTGTTGCGATTTTCTAATTTACTTCCTGTATTTATATAATTGAAGATAAAATGGTTAAATATTTGCATTATTTGTATCATTTTCCTACTCAGAAAAGTTTCAAAAATGTATCTTTTTCAAGAATAAGTTGGTTTATATACTAATAATTTTATAATGATACAGCAGCGCTTGCTTTTAAAAACTTTGATGTGTGTTTTAAATACTGTAGGGAAATTAATTTAAAGGGAAACTTCGCAAAAAAATGAAAAATTGATATTATGTTGATTATGTATAAAAAACCACAAATTCGTAAATATTAAAGTTTAATTCTGCTAGATAAGAGATCACCATCGATTTTAAATTTAGAGTATCACTTCTCCGCGTGCGGCCATTTTGACATCATCCCTGAATAGAAACCACGATATATCTATAAACCACAAAGGACCAAAACAAGCAGTAACCTAACGTAGCCGTAATTGAGTGTCGATATCTTGTCAAGCGTACGGTTGTTTTACCCGACAAGGAAAGCCTAAACAGTTTCCCGGGTCACAAAAAAAGATTATAATAGACATGGTTGTGCATGCAACCTTTCCTAACTAACTTGATAGGCGGTAAATGTAATTATATATAATTTTTTTTGAAATAACTAGTACTATGGTCTGTCGTTTTAAAACTGTTTTTTAACTAAGTTTTTGAAACAAGAAATTTTAATGGAAATTAGTTAAAAAGTTCAAAGTGATAAATTAAGTGTAACGTGTAAAAATGTTTTCGAAAATCTAGTGTGTTCATAATTCATTTATGTAATAATCTTATTTAAATAAATTCGGACCTTCCCTTATCTGATCACCAGTATGGCTAAAGGAATTGTTCCCAGAGGTATTGTGAGCTGACACGTCCAGGTATTCAAGCGATTTCCTGTCGGGCTTTAAAACTCTTATTACACGATTACATAAAGCAAGTTCGTGCATCACTTCACTTCTGATGGTATTGAGAAGTGTACATGGCCGATAACTTGTAACCTTCCATTTTGAAACTATCAGGTGAATATACATCTTTGTCTTGCGTGTCCGATAGTGATATGATAGTCTTTACTAAACCATAGATATAATAGCCATTATATATATGACTAAACTCATACGCTTGTTTATAAATAACATTTATGGTGTAAAGAATATTTATGAAAATCTAAATAATTCCAAAAAAAGATTTGATAAAATAAAAAAAATATTTACATATTTTCCAAACGTAAATTGGGGAAAATGTAAGTAATTACTCGTTGTCAATAATTATGGACATTTTGAAACGTACAAATATTGATTTAACAAAATGTTCGCACTTGTCGATCATTGGATTATACGCCTAGATAGAAGGTTACGGAACTATAGATAGTCGCAATTTAGAATATATACATGTATATTGAATATACGAGAGAAACATCCAAAACCAATCTGATTTAAATGCAGGTCGATATTTAACTTGCTTTGGTTCATCAAAGTTATGCACATAGTAAAATCACAGATTTTTATTTCAATTAGATTATTTTGAACAGTTTAAGAAATTCGTCATCATCACAATGGTTGTGTATTATGTATAATAATGTAATAATGTGAACATGGTTCTATTATATTATACCGGTAGTACCTCATGTCAATTTACCCGTTCCGACTTGCATGTAATATACCCCGGTATATGCCACTGGACGTACACTAATGATCCCCAAAAAGCTTATTTGAAAAAATAAAGAAACTTCACTCCGAATAGACTGATAGTAGATGTATTAACGTCTGGTCAGCTAGAGGGTTGATTAATTTATTTAGTTAGATTAAAAGGGAGGGGGGATAAACCATTCCTAATATTGCACTTATGCATAAAATATTAAATGAGAGTAATATAAGAGAAAATATAAATACGAAAAGTCGCATATCTGGCAACTATAGAATTTCACGTACAATTGTCATTCTTAATCGAAATAACGGACAGTCATTAAAATACATGCATGTACACTTTGATAAAAAGGGGTGCTGCAGTTGCATATTATTCATCATAAATCTATTTCAAGTATATACTTTCCTGTCATTCTTATAAGTTAACGCAGAGACATGTAACTATACATCTCTAGTTAACGACAATCAACCATATGAATATTTGAATCTGATGTGAATTACCGTTCATCTCTTTCTTTTTTCTTCTTTTTTTTTTTTTTTTTGATTTGGGCAGGTACACAAACATTGTAATGTTAGATATACTGTTCCCAGGTTGGGAGGGGCGGTGGTTGGAGGTAAGTATATCGAAAGTTACAAAATAAGAACGTTGTATTTATGAATTTACATGAAGAACTCTGATCTTGGGCGTAGGTTTCTTTTTTTTTAAGTTCAGTGATTTAAATTGAGAGAAAAAAATCTGTCAGAATTTAAATCGTACCGGCAATTTCCACCTAAGACTCCTCTAAAATCATGAATGGTCATGCTTCACAATCATCAGAATTTTCTTTGCATTGGTACATTCTGTATCGGTAGTGATTTACCTTGACATTTCCTGGTATAACAGAGCTACTTGTATATTACATGTATGTTGTTAGGTGACGTCCCATGAGGTCTTACGTATACAGGTTCACATTTATAATGGTTTCTGATAAAACAAGGTTTTATGACATTCACACTCCTGCATGTTCTTTATACCAAATTCTTATCTTATTTTCAGACCAAACGAGGATGTGAATATTTTCCAGGAAAAATATTGAGTATCAAATTAATTTCGGGATTTTTTTCTTTCTTGGTATTAAATCACAGAAACTTAAAGAATATACTGCTTGTACGCTTTAGGTGTATTCTTGTCGGTAAACGGACAGAAAGTCACAGGACAAAAAGTCACAGGATATAAAGTCACAAATTTGATAGGACAAAAAGTCACAAATAATTTGTTGACAATTGTTTGAATATATAAGAGAAAGATCTTGAAATATTTTCTTTTTATTACATATATCCATTTTTAGGTTTAGGAAATTGTTCATAAGCCTTGATA